GGAGAGAGAGGGGGGGGGGAAGAAACCCAAATATTTTCTAAGGGAGGGGGGTAGGACCTAAGGGATGGGGGAGTGGGGGTAGCTGGGAGGGGGGAAAGGAAGAAAGAGGGGGAGGACGGGGAGTGGACGCAAAGGGGGGAGGGGGACGGTGGCGGGGAAGGGGACGAGAGCTTAAATGGTCCCTGCTGCATGTAGGCTTGGGTACCATTCAAGCTGGACGCTCAAATTCAACTCACGCGGCCCCAGCATGTTGAAGTCATTTGATGATATATCTCTACCCAAAAAGGTCACCGAGAGCTGTCAGGAATTGGGTAAAGAGTCAGATGACTTCCAATTCTTTTGTACAGTCAGTGTGGCCTAGTGGTAGCAGTATTTGACACGCCAAGGGGGGGCCATAGAGGTGGGGCAAGTCAACCTCCCTCTCTCTCTCTCTCTCTCTCTCTCTCTCTCTCTCTCTCTCTCCTCTCTCTCTCTCTCTCTCTCTCTCTCTCTCTCTCTCTCTCTCTCTCTCTCTCTCTCTCTCTCTCTCTCATCGGCTGCAGGAACTGTAGCACAAGTTATTGACCCCCGGTCTCCCACCACCTTCCCGGAGCCAGGTTTTGGGGACAGCTGAGCCCAGGTGATACCAGTCGTATACCACAGTAATTAGACAGATTCCACCTCACAGAGCGGCCCGGGTCATGCATGAGGGACCCCTTGCCTACCCTACTGCCGGAGGGTGATGGGGGGGGGGCACTGCCAGGGTGAGGGAGACACTACCAGGGTGAGGGAGACACTACCAGGGTGAGGGAGACACTACCAGGGTGAGGGAGACACTACCAGGGTGAGGGAGACACTACCAGGGTGAGGGAGTTACTACCAGGGTGAGAGAGACAGTAGAGTCTGAAAGAGAAAGTTGGAAACAGGAAGGGAAGCGAGAGAGAAACAGGAGACTAGTGGAATGGAGAAAATGAGAGAGAGGAGAGGAGAGAAGCCTTAGATAGATGAGTCGACGAGAGAAAGAAGTGGAGGAAAAGTGTCAAACACCCGCCAGGGGATGGAAGTTAATTAAAGTTCAAAGATAGCAAAAATATCAGCACCTAAAGTGTAATTAACGCGAGAACACTGGTGAGTGGAAATATTTACTGATGGTGCGAATGATAAGGAACTGAAGTGGTTATAGGCACGTTACTCCAGGAGAGTCTTGCAAGACTTACACACACTACTACAGAAAGATCTTAATACACTTCAAGACTTGCGCATTACTTCTAAGGTATTATGGTCCAGTGGGTAGAGAATATTCCAGGGAAGTCTTAGAGTCGCGAGTTCAATCCCACCCCATTGCCAAAATATTTTGTCAATGGCAAGACTTCGTGATGAGGGGAAATTTTAACGTCTTGACTGGACTCGCCCCTCGGGGCAAAATTACAAAAAAAAATGTTGTTTTGCCCATTGGGGGGGGACACCCCCCCTTATTCCTGCCCCACTCTCACCCCCACCCCGGCCCCCCCTCACCCCCCCACCCCCACTACCATCCATCACCGACCAAGGTAATGTTTACCAACAACACAGCCGCTCAGCGGGTCCACTCATGATGCATGACCCAACAAGTTGTTGTTGACAGCCAATCGCCAACATGAATGGAAAAACATGTTAATGTTATGAGTCGTGTGAGTAATGTCTCGTGAGTAACGTGAATTTTGAGAGTAACGCGAATATTTGAGAAACATGAAGCTTGTGAGAGCTGTTAATTTTGTGATTAATGTCAATCTTGTGAGCAGCGTGAATTTGTTGAGTAATGCTAATCCTGTGAGAAAGGTGAGTCATGTTAGTAACATGAATCTTGTTTAGTAATGCGAATATTGCTTAATATTAATTTCGCGAGCAACGTGAATTTTGTGAGTACCTGTGAGTAATCTCACTGGATGATCTGTTTTTTTAATCTTTGGCGTATTGACATTTAATTGATCAACCAATCAATCATTCAATTGAACAATCAATCACTTAGTTGATCAACCATTCATTAAATTGCCCAACCAATCACTCAATTGCTCAACCAATCACTCAATTGCTCAACCAACCAATCATTGTGTATTATGAATGCAACATGTCAATATGTGTGTATGGTTCTGTGAACGTTAGCAGTGGACGCTGAAAGCAGGTTTGGGGACTGGCTGTTAATCCGTTTGACACAGGTGTGGACTGGTTAATCCTTTACGCACGATGGTGCAACATGAAATATGCAATAAGGTGTGATGTTGCATGATATAGTTTGCAAACGATTGGGTAAAAAAAAATATATATATATATATATATTTTATTTGTGTCTTTGTTGTTTTCTCCAAAACGCTTCAGTTTCCGTTGTTTAAAATTGTGTTTAATATATTTTTTTTAGAGCAAAATTTATAGTTGTCTAATATTTTATATTTGTTCTTAATTTAATTATATGATAATTGTTTTGTAACAAAATTAACGATGAAAGAAGATTGTAATTATTTTCTCTTCCGGTAAACGAAACTTAGAAAGAAGGAAGTTAATAGTTAAAGAAATCGAAGACGACCTATATATAAGACAAATTTGTTTGTTTGTCTATTTGTCTGTCTTTCCAATTGGAGGCCAAACGTAGGTAGCTATTCTTGCCCAACTTTGCAGAGTGAATTGTCTGGGGTAGAGGAAGGACATAGACTGTCGGGGGTCGATCAAGTTGAATACTTTAAAGAAATATTAGCATTTAAAGAGACCCCCCCCCCCCCAGGCGATTGTCATGCAGTCAAATGTGAAATATTACCTGTTTCATGTAGAGTTATTTCAGTGCTTCTTAATAAAGTTTTTGAGAGAAGCGGGAGAGTGGGGGGAGGGGGAGGGGACATAGGGTGGGGGTGAAGAGGGGGGGGGGGAGGAGAAAGAGTGGAAAGTGAGGGAAGTCCCGGGCGCAGCCGGGTACGTCTTCCATACATAAATATAAATGTCTGTGTAGGGAGGGTGTAGGGAGATGGGGTGAGGGGGGGGAGAGGGGCAGGAGGGAGAAGTGGGGGGAATGGAGATGGGAGGACAAGGTGGAAGAGCAGGGGAGGGGGAGAGAAGGGAAATAGGAGGTGTGGAATGAGAGAGAGACCCGGGCCCCGCCGGGGAACCCCTTCCAGTCGGCACACACAAGGCAGCTCCTATTTTTATGCACCCAAACTCATCCATATATGTCTAACCTACGCTTGAAACACTCCAGCGACCATACATAGGTTATATTAATGGACAATTTGTTCCATAAATCAAACAACCATGTTTCCAAACACATTGTTTGGTCTGGAAACAGTTTAGTTTGGTGAACAAATCCACAAGGGCCGTGACGAGGATTCGAACCTGCGTCCGGAAGCATCCCAGACGCTGGGATATTTAGTTTGGTTTCTGGTTTGTGAACAAATATTGAACAAAAAAATAAAAAAGCAATTCTGCTCAAATCTGTTCTTGCCGAGGAAAATACTCCAACTTTCAATTCTGGAAAAAGTTATTAAAAAATGCATTTTATGTATATGCTTTTATATTTATGAGAAGGAAGCGAGGACAAATGTTACACATTGGAAAAAAAAATTACGTTGAATAAATTGAATAGAATGATGTAAAAGTATTTCAACAAATATATTACTAAAGCCATTATTCTTTCGAGAATTTAAGGGAACAATTTCGCCAAGATTTGAGTCATTGTAAATGTCCCCAGGATGTTTTTTTTTGTCAAGTCTCCTGAATCCCAGAGAATTCTTAAGTGATTGCGAATAAATTGCTATTTTTACTATGTATCTTTGAATATAACTGTGGCGGAAACAAAAAATATTACCTCTTGGAGACTAAAAATGGCGCCCACTTCAGAAGAATGAAATTATAAAAATATATTTCTAAAGCTTTTTTGCTTATTTATCTTTTTGGGGAACAAAAAAGTCAGGCAAACACGCATTTATCACTCTACCTCTACCAATATTAATCTACTTCTACCCTGCTACCTCTACCAACATTACTCTACCTCTACCCTGCTACCTCTACCAACTACTTCTACCCTGCTACCTCTACCAACATTACTCTACCTCTACCTACAGTACTCTACCTTTACCCTGATACCTCTACCTACCCTGCGACACCCAAGGGCAACACTTACTGTGGTGTAGCCTAATTTTCGTTGTATATACAGTATAATGAGAAGTGTAAACCCCGTCTTCTCGGTGTACAGTATCCCACATCTTGGTGTCTATAATCTGAGAGTATACAGTAGTCCTGGACTATGTTCAGCACTAAATTATACTTCCGGAGTGGTCAGTAGCTATCGTGTAAGTCTGAATAAATCACCAACCTGATTATTTTTTCCAGCAGTTTACATGGGATACTCTTGAGCGACACTGGTGTGCAGTTTCCCGCCTCCTGTCACCTCACCTTTTTTAGAATACTGGAGCCGCTTGCCCCTTTTTTCCAGAATTCTGGAAGATTTCCTTGTTCAAGTGTTTGAAAAGTTTGGCGGATGACAAACTGCCCCCTGGAGCCTCCTTCAGCTGCCATGGGGATGATATTAAGTCTGTTCATCTTGATTTTATTGCATCTATAGTTCCTCCAGGTGTGTTCCATCTAGTTCTTTCAGGTGTGTTCCATCTAGTTCCTCCAGGTGTGTTCCATATGGCCACCCTGGTCTGGCAACGTTGCTTCTATTGTAAAGACCTGAAATCATGTGACAAGTTCCTCACATACCTCATTGTCATTTTCTGTGAGAATTCCATCTTGTCTCTTCAACCTGAATCACAGTGGTTGATTGGTTAATCAACTCCGACACGATGATGGAATGATTGCTAGCCCCCCCCCCCCCTAGGGACACCACACACTCCGTCCTCTCAACTTCTGCCTCATTTTGAACAATCAACAAGTTCTTTACCCAAAATAAACAACGGTAAGCAACAAGTTGTTCACCGTTGCTAGTCTCCTTCCCTTAATCTTATCAGCTGTGTAATGTTTTGCTTCAAGAAGTGTTTAGTGTGTCCGCCAGTTACTTGTCCACTCTATATCTCTGTGATCAACATCTCTGAGTATTATGATCTTAGGCGCCCTCTTGCTGACACTGTGGCGGCTGCTTCTATTACTTCTAAGCAAGTCTCGTTGTATGTCACATTCTTCCGTTGGCGCTCTGTTGATTTGTAAATCACCCGCTGCTACTGTCTTCATATCTCCATCTAGGAGCATGAAGTTCATGTTAGTGTGAGAAGGTCGTTAGTGTTGGGAAGGTTTTGTGAGTGTTGTGAAGGTTTTGTGAGTGTCGTAAAGGGCGTGTGAGTGTCGTAAGATTACGTGAACGAAAAGACGCAAATTCGTCCGTTAAATCAGAAAAAATAGCATATGAATCCAAATTTGCATATATTTATACAAAATTTATACAGACATAAATATAAAAAAAGTCGATTGGATGCCAAGTTTGGCACGCGTGCCAAGGATTGCCTACTCCTGGTCTAGGGGGGTACCTTGCACCTGATGCCTCTGTTTACTTAGCACCAAATAGGTACCAGCGAGTTAGGTAACATTAGGTCCACCCAACACTACCCTCCCATTACTCTCCTTAAGATGACACGCGCCACAGGTCATTAGGAAACATACAAGATGGTATGTTAACCTCGCCTGGACATGCAGGATACGACCATCATAACATGAACGTGTTCAATATTCACTACAACCCAAACATGACCCACAAAAATGGACATACCAGGCACTGTACAACAGGAAGCTTTACACACACACATAATTATACCATACCGTATGTTTGCCCACACACACACACACACACACACACACACACACACACACACACACACACACACACACACACACAGTATATCGCATATTTATCATTATTGGGCATGTGGGGAACAACTCCCCCCCCCCACACACACACACCCGGACAGCATACCACAAGTTAACATCACATATTTACCAGTATACACACTGACCGGTCCACAGGTGTTGTTGCAACACTCAGGCGACCCGGGCGCCGCCGGCGGGGGAGGAGCGTGTGTACATCTTGTGAGTTATTCAAGAGGTCACCTCCACTCTCCCAGGAGAGACCTGGGACCGATCCCAACCCATCACAAGAAGGACAGAATAATGTGTGTTTGATAAAATTGATAAACTAATATTAAGGGATACGTGTACATTATTGATTGTAGTGTCAACAAAGCAACATTACAATAAATTATTTTACTGTTGCAAGCAAGGCGGACGACTGAGATGTCGTGTTTAATCAGCGCGTCGTTGTTTTAGGAATTAATAAATCAGACCGAATAAAAAAGCAGCGAGTGGATTTACCATGATTTACCTGATTTCTACTCTAGTGGCCGAGGCAGGTAAAGGAAGCTGGTGGATTGTAGACTGTTGTCATATTATCCACCATTGTTGGTGAGGTGGCTGTTCTATAGTTGCTTGTTCTCGTGCAGGTGGAAGTAGACGACTGCTGACTCCTCAACCCGTTCTCGCACTTTCGTACAGTCAATATTGACTTATTAAATAAGTGCATATGTGACATACTAATTTATTGAATATTTTAGTTTACCTTGAAAGCTTCATAGAAAACCCCTTACCTAACATATGTTAAGATAAGCATCTTATTGTTTCTTAACTATAATTATTACTTAACCTATAATAGGTATAGGTGCGAGAACGGGTTGGACTCCTGTTACCAGGCTGTTACCCCCTTCCCATAGCCTAGGGTAAGCCTTACCCTACTAGCTTCCCCTGGAACACGACCTGCCACACGGTTTACAACCACTTCCTCGATTACTCCTGAGCCAACAGATGGCGTACAGTCAAGGATTAGTGCCCCAAATTAACCCGCTTTACCCAAGGTTCGAAAACCTGACGAAACCGCCGGCGATACCGTAGGAACTTTGAAGCCGTTGGTGGCTGAGTGGGACACGTTAAATCTTGAAACGAAGTGTTCTGGCTTCTAATTTTGTCCAGTATCATAACAATCCGAGTGAAATCAGCCTTGTGGTGTCCTGTTTGTAAAGCTTTAAATACCGCGGCCCCTCAGCCTTGGCCAGTGACTCTTAGATTCTACATCACTTTGCTAATGTAAGCAGCTGGAAGACCAGCTTTTCTTAAAGGATTGTTGTTTGTTCCTTGTATACCCGTGTGTGTGTATGCATGAGTGGCGTATTGTGGTGTGAGGGTCGTCCACTGGGGCAGACCGCCAGTGCAGCTTGAAGACAAGTTATGCCACAGTCTGCCAAGATGCTGGTGATAGGCCTCTGTGGATCACTTGCAAAGAAAAGTGTGTCATTTCAATGATTGCAGCTCAGAGCTACATTGCACCGTGAGAGTAGGTTGTGTCGTGTGGTACAGTGTGTGGTACTGTGCATATGGAGGGGTATGGTACAGTGTATGGTACAGACCTGCAATAACCACCTGGGCTATTGGGGACTGAGCGCAATTTTACTAAATATTTTAAGTAAAGTGAGAAACGGCTTCCATCTGTGGCTCAGGTCCATAGAGACAAGTGTGACTCTGGTCATCAATATGTGTCACTTCAACAACAGATGTTGTGATATATAATGCACCTTGATATTAAGTGTAAACATTGGCATTATTTGCATTTGATGAGGGTGTTCAGAAAGCCCCGTCTAAGTGTGTGGCACTCCTCAAGCACTGTGGTGGCACTCCTCGTAGCAGTGTAGAGAGAGAGAGAGGAACCACAGGAGGGCAACAGCTTGACTATTCACCTAAAACGTGCCATATTTGACCTCATCGACCCATTTGTTAAGAATGAGAAGCATTTGGGAATTGAGAGTAGACCTGCACACCACTGGTTGTTGCAGGTCTTTCACATTAAAGCACCGCATTATAGACACTTTCAAACCATCGCTCTCCCTGGGTCAGGTTCGTGGGGTTTAGTACGTTTCTCGTTAGGCAAAAACAGTTTTATTTTTTACGGAGTGGGAAATGGAGAGAATGTGGTGTGGAGGTAATGCTGAGCAGCTCATTTCCTGCTGTCAGTTACTGGGGATATGTGAGGTAAATGGAACACTGGAGCATGGAACCACGACCATAAACGTGTGACCCCTGCCACCCGCCTGAGCCATAGACGTATTTACGTAGAATACGTCAATATTATGGCGTTTGACTTGTTATCTCTAACTGTTCGTCAGTTAGAGATAACATTTGGGGTAACTGGTTGGATAAGGAGTGGTGGGTGGTGTTCCAGGGCACACTAGTAGGGTAAGCTTACCATGAGCCATGGGAAGGGAAAGCTCTAAACTTACTAACAGGCGTAAGACACTTGTCTTTTGTTTTTACCGTTGTAAACAAGACTGCGAGAGAGAGACAGAGACGCCCCCACGTGGTGATCAACCCCCATCACCAGAAGGCTTGGTCACCCCAGCCCTGCCTCTTGCCTACCCACTGCTCACCACAACAGTCTTACTCCCCCATCTCTCTCCGCCGCCAGCAGTGTGGTGAAGAAGGGCGCCCAGGCATCAGTAACAGTAAACACTGCAATATTTAAGAGATTAATACAGCTGTATGCGCGCTCTAGATCTGCCACTCAGTAAAAAATACAACTCTTTTACCTAACCACATACATACGAACCCCAGCGAACCTCTCCAGGAATAGATACCGTAAATATTACAGTTATCATTTTTTTTTACAAATACGTCGAATGTGTAACCGGTTGATCGGTTGAGCTAAAAGGTCAGCCGAGAGAGGACGAGTGGCAAGGTATTGATGCTTACTTAAGTAAAGAGCGCACAATCAATGTACTTACTTATGTACGCTCCGGAACCAACCGCGAGGCAGATATTTGTTGATCAGACCACACACTAGAAGGTGAAGGGACGACGACGTTTTGGTCCGTCCTGGACCATTCTCAAGTCGATTGTGACAGATATGTGTTGTCATCATTTTCACACAATCTTTACATATTTGTATATGACTTCACTAGAATGTATTCTTATCTGTTTATGGGTTTGGTATCCCTCCACCCCCCCCCCCCCGAGGGTGTGAAGCAACAGCTTGAGCTGACGCAGCTCAAGCTTGTATTACGAACATTACAGTCGACAAAGACCGCTGATCAAGCTGGATTACAAAAATGCTTTCAACCAGGTAAGCAGGAAGGCATTATACTCCTTACTGCTCATTCTCACTTCCCATTCCTATATTCGTGCTGCTTTTTAGTATATATGGTATATACGCTACTCTTTAGCATATATGGTACTATTTAGTACCATAGAGTCAGTCGTGCTATTATTTACTGAACATGAAAACGACTCACGAGAAACGTTTAGTAATTTCACATATCTGCATGGGGAATTACTAAAGAAAACTGAGCCAAAACGTTTCAGTGATTGCTACACCCAGCCCTGTGTGTAGGGTGAAGGGGGTTGGCAGAAAGGGTCACAAGGTTCTCCTGATTCATTCGGCAAATTGAAGACAATATCGTTGTTCTCTCCTGTATTGTCTAGTTTAACCCCTTGCAAACCTTTCCAACACTGATGTATCTGAGTCCAGAGCATGTGTTGTTGAGAGAGAGAGAGAGAGAGAGAGAGAGAGAGAGAGAGAGAGAGAGAGAGAGAGAGAGAGAGAGAGAGAGAGAGAGAGAGAGAGAGAGAGAGAGAGAGAGAGAGAGAGAGAGAGAGAGAGAGAGAGAGAGAGAGAGAGAGAGAGAGAGAGAGAGAGAGAGAGAGAGAGACTATCCACTTGAGGACAGGGAGGAGTGGATGGACGTCTACTAAGATGAAGAGTAACACCTCTGGAGGAGTCGGACGAGCGTGGAGAAAATTAGGAAAATGTGGAAGTGAGGAGGAAGGTGAGGAGAGTGAGTGAAGAGGCAGATAAGAAGGTTGAGAAGAGGTGAAGGAGCAGGTGTCACAAAGATAAGAGAGGATAAATAGCGAGAGGCAAAATTTTAAATAAAGGAAGCAAGATACGGACGACTACAAATAAATAGGGAAGGAATGTTGGAAGTGAGACAAAGGAGAATAAAGGCCACTAGAGATTAATTAGAAGGTACAGACAAGAGAAGAATGAGAGAGAAAGGGGAAGAGAGAGAGAGAGAGAGAGAGAGAGAGAGAGAGAGAGAGAGAGAGAGAGAGAGAGAGAGAGAGAGAGAGAGAGAGAGAGAGAGAGAGAGAGAGAGAGAGAGAGAGAATGAAATCAAATAGAAATACACAAAGAAATATATATAAACATATACAAATAAGTAGGTAGT